CCGCGGACGCGTGGCGGCTCGAGAGAGGCGCGAGGTCGTCGAGTCCGCTCGCCCCGCTGCCCTCAGGCGGCCGCCGGCGCCGCCTCCATGCGCGCGGGCCCCAACGGCCGGCTCCGCTCGCTTCGCGCCCTCCGCGGCGTGGCCGCCAGCGCTTCACCGGCCTCTGCGGCGCAAGCCCCCGGCAGGCGAGCGCTCGGCGCGCGGCCGTCACGTGGCGGGGGCCGGGCCGTGACGTCACGCGGCGGCGCGGGCCGGGGGCGGGGCGCGGCGGGGGTGTGCACCCAGACCTCGCACGCCGATTGGCCGGGTAGCGGATGTGGGCGTGGCGGCCGCGCAGCCTGGGGCGGGTCCGGTCCCTGACGACGGCTGATGAGAGGGGCCGTCCTAGGCCAGAGGGTGGATGCGGTGAAAACCGGCTGTGGCTGCTGGGTCCTCGCTCAAAGGCAGCGACGTCATGCTTAGCAAAGCCTAGCCAGGCCCTACCTTGAAAAAAAAGTTTTCTTTGTGATATTTACTTGTGCAAAAAGGTATTCAAATTACATGTTACATCTCACATTTCTGTAGTCATCGCCTGAGGGAAAAAAACATGATCTAAACAGTCGAAACCCCCAGTGTACCCCATAGATCATTATGTGTTTTTGATCTTCCTGTAAATATTATATGCTACATGTATTTCACAATATGCTTTTTTGGCCTATCTTTTCTGATCATCTCTAGCCCACACTTAGATATCCAAGCTGCTTCTCTATGTGAATGTCCCTGAGTCACTGTCAACTCATCCTGGCATCTTTTAACCTCCGGGTCTCCCCCAGATGACAGGCCGAAGCTTTCCCTGGCCACGTGACTCTATTACATTAGGCTTCTGCAGTGACTTTGTTGAGTTCTTTAAGTTGTCCTTCCCCCCCTGGAATACGGCTGCAGAAGAGCAGGGACTCCTTTATTTTGTTTGTGATTGTTCCTGACACGGTACCTGCCACCTAGTAATGCCCAAGGAATAATGAATACATGTCCTGAATTGAACTTATCATTCTTCCCCTCCTCCAAACCTGCTCTGCCTCTCCTATTTCCTGGCCTGGTGATGGCACCACGGTCTCCACAAATACCAATACCAGGAAACTTTCCTGTTACCTTGGACTCTCTTTTATTAATAATCTCTCTCCCTCTCTCAGCTCCCATCACTCATCTGGCACTTCTAGTTTCTAAAATTCTCCCCAATCCATCTCCTTCTCTGTGCTCCCTTCATTGCTGCTACTGATCGCTGGTCTTCATGTGTCTCCTCTACTACGTAGCAAAAATCTTCTACCTGCTCTCACAGGCCACCCCCTTTAGTCTGTTACTCCCACTTCCATTATCCTCCTGAGGCACTGGATATAGAACATACCAACCCTTTGTTTTCTGTCTCCCAGAGCTGCTGAAAGCAGTACCTTGACCAGATGGAGCAGCTAGATGTCCTGTGTGTAAACAGAGAATTTAAGTAGGAGGAGGGGAATTGTGGGCAAACATGGCACTAGCAGGCCAATCTGTATTTGATTGCTGGGACTCTTTAAACAAAAACAACTCAGAGGAGCAGTCATCTGAAATGCAAATACAATGATTACTCTATTAAAGCCATTACTCCCAGGCCTAGAAGGAAGGGAAGCTATATTAGTGAAGAGATATAAGTGAAAAACAGGAAAGAGGAAAAAAAGGTGAGTTTCTTCATGTCTCCTGGGCCTACCAAACCTCTTCCTTGCTTTAGTTGCTTAAGAAGTTGGGGTTGTTTTTTTTTGAGTTAGAGTCTCACTCTGTGACCCAGGAGTGCAGTGGCACACTCACGGCCTCTGTAGCCTCGACCTGCTGTGCTCAGGTGATCCTTTGCCTCAGTCTTCCAAATAGCTGGAACTACAGGCATGCGCTACCACGCCCAACTCATTTTTGATCTACTGTAGAGATGAGATCTCACCACATTGCCCAGGCTGGCCTCAAACCCGTGGCCTAGGACAATCCTCTCGCCTCAGCCTCCCAAAGGCTGGGATTATAGGCTTGAGCCGCTGTGGCTGGCCTAAGGAGTCAGGTTTCAGCCAGGTGTAGTGGCTCATGCCTATAATCCCAGCACTTTGGAAGGCTGAAATGAGAGGATTACCTGAGCTCAGGGGTTGGAGACCAGCCTGGGCAGCATGGTGAGACCTCATCTCTACCAAAAAAAAAAAAGTTGCCGGGCTCGGTGGCTCAACCTGTAATCCTGC